TACCCAGGAAGGCCGCCTCAGATCTTCATCAAAAGAGTTATTAACTCTCCTTCTTCTCATTGTTGGACGGGAACAACTCCCTTACCTAGAACCGGCTGGCCCTCATCCAAATGCATGGAAAGCTGGAGAGAGAACCAGGAGGGAGGTGGCAGATTAGATAAGAAGTGAGAAGTGACAGATGTTGTCAGGCAAGTCGACCAGACAGGAGATGGTGTGGCTGAATGAATCATTAGCCTGGCGCCAGGCAAGGGCCTACATCCCAAAGAACCACATGCCCCTGCAGCTTCCAGGCCGCTTCCTGTGCTGCGCCCCAAGAAAAAAATCGCGCATGTTAACCTCACTTCCTCTTCCGCTCCGCTTTGCAAGCTGGTTAAGTCAAGGGACAGGGAGGGAGCATGCGCGAGCTGCAGCAAGGCACTCAAACTGGAAGGAACAACCTGGCGCTCGGTGCGGGACCCGAAGGACCACCCCCAAATCCTGACGCCTCGGGCACCGTGTTTACCCGGAGGAGAGCTCTCCAGGTGGTGTGCCGAGGTGCTCTGCCTGGTTCAGCACTTCTCCTGGCGACTCAGTGGGAGTCCAAGGGAGTGGGCTTGTCAAGTGTTCCGTTGACACGGAGTCAGGAAATAGCACTAATAGGTCAGCTGACAGGAGCAAGATTCAAAGAGATCTGGACAGGTTAGAATGATGGAGCCACACTAACAGGATGAAAGATAGAACCCAGAGTTAAGTTCAGGCAATTAGATGCTCCAGGTAAAAGAGATGCAAGTTCATGCATGAAAAATGAAAGCAGTGGTTCTGGTTGATTGCACACTTGATATGAATTACTAGCATGACATTTGTTAGAAAGGAGAGAGAAATTTTTTTGCTGCTTTATATTGCATGTGTATCGTGATCATATCTAAAATAAAGGAGATCATTATCCCACAGGATTCTTCATATTGAATTCTATTTGCGACGCCTCAACTGAAGCAAACATTCATTGAAAAGTGCTGGAGAGGGGGTCCGAAGGGAAGAGAAATGATTGCAGCAGTTGGAGGAGACTCTCTGAGGACGTGTGGAGGATGAGAGAGCCGTATTCAGATATTTGAAAGTGACATTGAAAAGAATTAAGTGTATGATGCGTAACTCCAGATTACAAGTAAGTGGAAGCTTCAGACAGAAAGACAGTGTCCTCCTCCATATACATGAGAATTAACTGCCATTTTTAGATATTCTAATAATTTGCTGTGACCCGAAGTTCCTATGCCGAATCCATTAGGGATGATGTGGGAGGGGATTGGGCGGGCATGCTAGGTGCCTCTAGGTCCCTTCTGCTGTATGGTTTAGTTTATTTCACTTACCAGATATGTATTGAATTTCTACGTCCTGTGGTGAGCACAACGGAACCAGTCCCTGCTCTCTTGGCACCTACGTATATAATCTATGAGGAAGAGACAAACCAGCAGGAAACAGTAACAAGCTAACTAAATGTTATGCACAACGCAAACAGGGTGCTGAAGGAGAGAAGAGCAAGGAAGGATCTCCTTAGATTAAGTAGTCATGGAAACTCTCACTGAGGTGATACTTCAGCTGAGACCTGAAGACCTAGGGGGCTAAGGCTTTGAAAGAACTAGGAAAACATTCCAGGCAGAAAGTACAACATGAACAACAGCCTTAACCTAAGACAAAGCCGGGCACAGTGAGGCAAGGAGTGCTGGTCAGGATGGCTGGAACACACGGGGCGTGGAGGAGAATGGCAGAAGGTGAGAGAGAGAGAGAAGCAGACAGGGCCAAGGTCACATGCCCCTCCCCCCCCCCCCCGCCCGTGAGCTAGGATGAGGATTTAAACTTTTTTCTAAGTTCAGTGGAGAACCACTGAAGCATTTTAGGCAAAGGGTAATGGAATCCGATTCGTGTTTTTAAAAGGTTGGTGAGTTCTGTAAGACCATTCTAGTACAGAAGAATAGCAGCGGAAAACAGAGGCTTGTTCTCTCCAGCCCCTAGGTTAACTCAGCAAGGAAATGGAGGGGGAACTAGCCAGAACTCTGCCGGAGTTTGCTGCTGAAGATCTCAGCACCTGGGGAGCCGCAAGACTTCATGGCAAAAGTCTTCAGAGTGGATTCTTCGTTCTCTGCTTGAGAACCTGTAATCTACCCTAGTGCCGTTTGTTATTCGTGAAGAAACACAACTCAGGGTGACACCAGGGCATAGTCACGGAGGTCCTGAGGCTAGGGTGTCTATAACTTGTGAAGCAGCAAGGGTTTTAGGGAACAAGTAAGAAGTGTCCTTGCTTTCTAATGATATTTGGAATCTGGGTTGAGGATAAAGGTTGGAATCAAGCAAAATAACTAGTATAGAATTAAGGGAATCGGGGCAAAGATAATCTTGCTATAAGGTTTGAAGCGAGATACCAAAAAGTGGACGGGAAGAAAAAAGAAAATGAAGGAAAGGAGGGATTATAGGAAGGTCAGGACTAACCAGAGGGACTGGGAAGTGAAGGAGTTTTTACGAGGCGCTGTGGTAGAGGTGTGGGGATGTGGGTCCTCCAACTGCTTTTCCGCTGACGGGTTAACAGCATTACAGGCTGTACAGAAAAATGGGGAAAAAAGAAAAGATACACCGATAATCCTACCATCTTAAATAAGCATGATTATTGCTTGGGTCATTCCCTCATTTTTCCCTATGTATCTGCTTTTAATGTAAACACATTTGGATTTTTTTTTCAATCCTAAGAGTAACACATGTGAGTTGCACAAAATAAAAATCGCACCCGTCTCCCAACCCAACGTCTGAGAGCCATAGGAATGGAACTGTACTATATATAGTCTTAAAAGTTAATAGTTTGTTGTGGGGCACCTGGGTGGCTCAGTCGGTTAAGCATCTGATTCTTGGTTTCGGCTCAGGTCATGATTTTAGGGTCCTGAGATCCAGCACCCCTACTCCCCCCCCCCACCTTCATCCCCCTTCAAGCCCTGCGTGGAGCCCTTCATGCAATCCTGTGCTGGCCGTGGATCCTGCTTCAGAGTCTGTTGCTCCCTCTCCCTCTGCCCCTCCCCCCATCCTGCGCACGCTCCGGGGTTCTCTCTCTCTCTCTCTCAAAAAAAAAAAGTTAATAGCTTGTTGTAGTTAAGCATTTTTCACATGACTGTGATCATAGTATATGTAATTGTGTTACTTAACATTATACAAACTATAACTCTTCCTTTGATCTCCTTGGATTAATAATGATTGATGTCATTTTTACCTAGGTTTTAGTTTAAGTTCCATCCAAACTTTAAAGGAAAAAGCCTTTCAAAACCACTGAAAAAGAGGAAGATGATGGCTCATAAGCACATGAAAAGGAGCTCAACGTCAAAAGTCGTTAGGAAATGCAAATTAAAACCCAAAGGAGGTACCACTTCACAGCTAGGAAAATGACTATCATAAAAAAAAGGCAGACAATAACAAGAGTTGGTGAGGATGTGTGAGGCTGGAACATTTATACCCTACTCAGGAGAAAATAAAGTGGTTCAGCCACTTTGGAAAACAGTTTGGCAATTTCTTAAAAAGTGAAACCTAAATTTAGCACACGACCAGAAATTCCACTCATCGGTATGTACCTGAGAGGAATGTAAACAAATGTCCACACAAATACTAGTTAATGTTCATAACAACATTATTCCTAATAACCACAAAGGGAAAACAACCCAAATGTTTATCAGGTGATGAATGAATACAATGGAATACTCTCCCACAATAAAAAGAATAAAATATGGATACATGCTACAACATGGAGGAACCTCAAAAGCATGTGCTTCATGGAGGAAGACAGACACTATAGATTACATGCTGTATGCTCCATTTACGTGAAATGTCCAGAAAAGGCAGATTTATAAAGACAGACAGCAGATCAGTGGTTGCTTGGTCGGGAGTGTTAGTGAGGATTACTATGCACAGTTTTGAGGGATGTGTTGGGGGTGATAGAAACATTCTAAAACTGGATTATGGTGATGGCTGCACAACTTTTATATATAAGTTTACTGAAAAAGTATTGAATTGTACACTTACCAAACACACACACACACACAAAGTAGATGAAGGAGGGGGCGCTTTGAACCATTTTGGGGACACTTTTAAGACGAGTGAAATTTGGAACCTAATAAGAAATATGCAACAAAAGAATTTGTAGTCTCTCGGCTTTTCAAATTGATAACCAGATTTATCCTCAACATAATATCATCCTGACGGTGCCTATGTCAAAGGATGAATTTAAAATGGTCATATCTTTGAAAGGCACAATATGAAAGGAAATTGAGTCACTGTTACATATCCTCAAACAAAAACAGCAGAAGAGGAGGGCCTTGTGTTTGGTTTTTATGTTCCTATGCCGCCACCTTGTGATCATTTATAAAATGGCACTATTCGACTTGCTTCTTTTTTTTTTTTTTTAAACCTTGGATTTGTTGAGCCATGTCTGTATACCACAAATATCTCAATGCTTGGCTGTGTGTAGGTTAAATATCTGAATGGATCGCTGAATAATTTATGCTTCCAAAAAATACTGTAGTGACAAAAACTGGACTGGGAATCTCAAAAAATAGCTTCCAGCCCCTGATCTGCTTGGTGTCAGCTTTGTGACTTTGAGCCCAAACAAGATTAATCTGTGAGCCCTAACTGGCCCCAAAGTTCAAGCAGAGGCTCTCTGTAAGATAGCGGTTAGGAGCACGGCACTGGGGTAAGTTCCTAACTACTCTGAACTTTGGTCTTCTCTATAAGTGAGAACCAAGTGTGAAAATGTATGTAAAAACACTTATTTCAGAATACACTTCAGAAAACAGTGGGCTGCGATGGTTGCCACCAGTAATCATGTGCCTCCTGGGCAAAAATCTGACATTTCGAAGTAGTTACTTCTTCCCACCCCACCCCCAAAACAATTCAGCAAAAACCCTGAAAGATAGAAGTTCAGAAAATAAAATATGCTTTCTGCCCGTGGACGCCGCAGAGTAAGCATCGTTAAAGTCTCCCCTCCCACCGCCGTCATGTCTAAGTCAGAGTCTCCCAAAGAGCCTGAACAGCTGCGGAAGCTCTTCATCGGAGGTTTGAGCTTTGAAACAACCGATGAGAGTCTGAGGAGCCATTTTGAGCAATGGGGAACGCTTACAGACTGTGTGGTAATGAGAGATCCAAACACCAAGTGCTCCAGAGGCTTTGGGTTTGTCACGTATGCCACTGTGGAGGAGGTGGATGCAGCCATGAACGCAAGGCCACACAAGGTGGATGGATGGAAGAGTTGTGGAACCAAAGAGGGCTGTCTCAACAGAAGATTCTCAAAGACCTGGTGCCCACTTAACTGTGAAAAAGATTTTTGTTGGTGGCATTAAAGAAGACCCTGAAGAACATCATCTAAGAGATTATTTTGAACAGTATGGGAAAATTGAAGTGATTGAGATCATGATTGACCGAGGCAGTGGCAAAAAGAGAGGTTTCACTTTTGTAACATTTGATGACCATGACTCTGTAGACAAGATTGTCCTTCAAAAATACCATACTGTGAATGGCCACAACTGTGAAGTAAGGAAAACCCTATGTAAGCAAGAGATGGCCAGTGCTTCATCCAGCCAGAGGTCGAAGTGGTTCTGGAAACTTTGGTGGTGGTCGTGGAGGTGGTTTTGGTGGGAATGACAACTTTGGTCGTGGAGGGAACTTCAGTGGTCGAGGTGGCTTTGGTGGCAGTCGAGGTGGTGGTGGATATGGTGGCAGTGGGGATGGCTATAACGGATTTGGTAATGATGGAAGCAACTTTGGGAGGTGGCAGAAGCTATAATGATTTTGGCAATTACAACAATCAATCCTCAAATTTTGGACCCATGAAAGGAGGAAATTTTGGAGGCAGAAGCTCTGACCCCTATGGTGGTGGAGGCCAATACTTTGCCAAACCACAAAACCAAGGTGGCTATGGTGGTTCCAGCAGCAGCAGTAGCTATGGCAGTGGCAGGTTTTAATTACTGCCAGGAAACAAAGCTTAGCAGGAGAGGAGAGCCAGAGGAGTGACAGGGAAGCTACGGGTTACAACAGATTTGTGAACTCAGCCAAGGACAGCTTTGTAGCCTAGCTGCTACAAAGAAGACATGTTTTAGACAATACTCATGTGTATGGGCAAAAAACTAGAGGATTGTATTTGTGACTAATTGTATAACAGGTTATTTTAGTTTCTGTTCCGTGGAAAGTGTAAAGCATTCCAACAAAGGGTTTTAACGTATTTTTTTTTTTTGCACCCATGCTGTTGATTGCTAAATGTAATAGTCTGATCATGACGCTGAATAAATGTGTCTTTAAAAAAAAAAAGAAAACAAAATATATTTCTTAGAATTATCAGCTGATTGGAAAAACACATTTGAACAATTTATTTAAATACTGAGTAAAGCCAAAGGCTTCACAGAAGCTGGGATTTTACAAATAACTTGGAATCACTGATTTTTTTTTTTAAGATTTTATTTATTTATTTGAGAGGGAGACAGAGACAGAGCATGAGTAGGGGGAGGGGCAGAGGGAGAGGGAGAAGTAGACTCCCCACCCGACAGGGAGCCTGGGATCATGAACCGAGCCAAACGCAGACGCATAACTGACTGAGCCACCCAGGCGCCCCTCAGTGATTATTTCTAAACAATACAGACTGACAAGGACGTCAAGGGGTGACTGCCGTAGCCGATCCTCTCACTGCCAGTATCTTACAGGTGCCTGGCATGCTCAACATATGCCAACCAGCACAATGCTGACCAGAGGAAACAGAATTCTTTCATTTCCCCAAGAATTCAAATGAGTGTTTACATCACTTGAGATTCTATTCCATAGGTCAGAGAACCAGGCTGCATAAGGAGCCACACTATCTGAAACCAAAGACTGTCTACCATTTTACTCCTTCACCCACTCTATTTCCTTGGGATGTCAAAATATCGAGATGATCTTAGCTTTTATTTTCCAGGCAGATGTTCTGGCATGACTCATATATTAAGTTGTTTGTTTGTTTTTAACAGCTTTATTGAGGGATAATTTAGATAGTACATTGAATTCCCTAACATACACAGTTGCCCGAGTGTTGGTAACTGCATACAGTTATATAGCCATTACCACAATTCAGTTTTAGAACAATTCTATCATATACTTTACATTTGACCAGCCCCATAGGGAAAGAATTTACTGGATCTTTAACCTGTGGATTTAAACCATCCAGCTCTAGAACCTCGCCTAGGCATTCCTTTTGAATAAATCAAGCTTTAAAGGGAGACAAAGTAAAACTCTACTCCAAATAGAGGTCAATGAAACACATTCTCTCCAGGGGTCTGCAGGCTAATTAGAATATAAATTAAACAAATAAGTTAAGAATAAAAGTTAATACACATGCACTAATGCATATTTTGAAAAGCGTATATTATATAATTCATTACAGTTTAAGCCAATATTATGGCCACCTTTCACCCAAGGACCAACTTATTTGTTTTCTCACTCTTATAGATATGGTTAGGTGGGATAAACTGCCTGGAGCCTGAACATTTTGATCTGGCATATCCCAAGTTAATGGAAGAAATATTCCCCCTTTCTGTAATTTGGCTGTGCACACTTAACGTGGGGTTGGAACTGAAACACTGCCTTAGATCCTGCAGAGGAAGAGCTTCTTCTTCAGTGGGATATTTCAGAGGCCCTTTTGATTTTGTCTTGTTTCAAAGAGCTTATTTATTCAAGAAATAATTAAATTACCATGCTCCTCATCCTGCAGATCCAGTACTCACGGTCTACTTCTCCCTATACAGCATCTAGTAGATATGTACACAAAAACCTCTCAATGAAAGAATTATAATCTGGGTATAATGAAAATTTCTCTATTTATTTATTTGCTTTTTGTTCCTGCCTTATCTCTAAGTTTGTCTATAGGTGTTTCAGAGAGGTAGTTATGTATAAACTACTTCTACTTTGGTTCCAGACACACCTTTATCTAGCCTTATGGCATTTACTAACTCCACTCATCTTGACATTTAAATACTATTTTACTTTGTTATTTAAGTGTTCGATATGTGCTAACTTAGCCTCCTTCATATACTAAGATCTTTGTGGTTAGAATAATTATTTCACACTTTGTGCATGAATAAACGAATTCTGTATTTCTTGAGCACTTTGTTCACAATGGGCACACAAAAAGCTATTTAATAAGTACTTGTTTAATTAATAATGATACCTCAGGTTTGTCTCCCCTCAGGTTTGTTCACAGAACCCCTGCCTCCCGTCCCCCCTCCACTTACATTTATCATATAACCCAGATTTCCTAGACATTACAGATTTTCCGTCCTACTGTCCCATAAGAACAGTTGCATGTGCCACACCATATGTCTGGGCATATGGTCCTCAATTACTGTAATATGAATCCATCTCTGTTGCAATACGTCTCTGATTTCTATTCCTCCCTTTTTGCTAATAGCTCTGATTACCATTTCAAATACAGTTCCCTTTCTTTTCTTTAACTTGAGCCTCGATTTTTAACATTACAAAAGCATACTAATAGGACAAGTTTGTATACAAAATACACAGAGTACCTTTCATCAAAGGTTATCTATTTCTTCCCTGCTGTTTCCACTTTGACTCGTACAACTCAGGGTTCCTGCACTAAGAGGGCCTAGAGAACATTCAGTACACACAGGAAGCAGCTGCGCAGTCCCCCGGGCACCTGTCGGTGGATCTCCCACTCACTCATTCTGTGACCTTGGTTGAGTCACTCAAATTTCTATGAACCTCGGAGTCTTCCTTATGATGCTGCCCATCTCACCAGGCTGTCGAGACAAGAGAGACGTGGATGTGTGCGCACTCTGTGAAATCTAAGGCTCAAGGCAAACTTAATGGATCGCTGGGAGGGGTGGGAGGGGGGTGGTTCCCTGCAGAGCTCTTCGTGCCTGCTCTCCCCCAGACTCTTCGTTTCACCGCGCAACTTGGAGGGACGCGCCCAGGAGCCCGCACACCACCGCGCCCCAGCCCTGCAAGTTCACGGGCAGCGGCTTCTCCCGACCTCGCCTCCGCAGGGATCGAGCCCCAGGCCCCGGCTCGGGGACGACCGCGAGGCTCCGGGCGCCGTCTGCCGCGGGGAGAAGGGAGCCTTCCTTGCAGGGCTCCCCTCTGCAGTTGTAACGCGCGCTCCCTCTAGAGCCGCCTCTGGGTCTCAATTGTAAACTGCAGTCGCCCCCGGCCGCAGCCTCACCCCTTCCTCTCCCCGCACCAGCCAAGCGAGGCCCCTCCCCCGGAAGGCCCCTCCCCCGGAAAGCCCGTCTCCGGGAACGCCCAGCCACCCTCCAAAAGCCCCTGCGAGCTTCAGCCACGCCCCGCTATTTAAACTCAGAGCGCCCGGGAAGGTGGCTGGTTAGGGCCCCGCGCGGTGAATTATGGGGGTTGAGCCTGCAGAAGGTGGATGCTGATTGACTCCTGAGCGAGGAGGGCGGAGTAAAAGGCGGAAGCAGGCGTTGGGGGCGGGCTCGGTGCAGTTGCAGACTGGAGCGCTCATGGAAGCGGTTAGGTGCTCCGAGCACGGTAAGGGGTCCGGGTGTTTTAGGGGCTCCCGGGGTTTGTCAGTGTAGCTTGGCGTAATCATTGTCAACCTCCTGTCTTCAGGGGTCGTGTGTTTTCTCAAGACCGGCGTCCGCGATGGCCCGAATAAAGGAAAGAGCTTCTACGTGTGCCCGGCTAACACCTGCAGCTTCGTGCTGGCAGCCGAGTAAGTCTCGAGATGGGCATGACTGCCTGCCACCGCCAGCTCCCCTCCGCCCGGCGCCACTGGCACTAGGAGAGGTGGGGACCCTGGTGTGTGCCGCCGGGGCCTTTAAGTAGTTGGTGATCCCAGGGCAGCGTGGCGTGTTCAGGAGGCGCTCCGTTCCTGCTTGCTGTTTGGCCCTGGGCAGCTTACTCACCCTCTCTGGGCCTCCATTTCGCCCACCTGTAAAGTGGAGGGTCAACTACAACTGGAACCTTCTGGTCCTTTCCAGCTCTGGGTTTCTTCTTGCTTGCCAGCCCTTCTGCTAGGACATTGCCTCTCCCTGCTAAGTGAGGACATGCAGACATAGTAGAAAATAATTGGTCCCTGTTTTGCACTAGTTTCAGGCCGAACTTATTTTTAAATGTTTGAGGTTCAAACTCGCTGGTGGTCAGATTATCAACTCCTTTTAAAAAGAGGATTCTCTGGTGGCACCTGAGTAGCTCAGCTGGTTAAGCATCCGACTCTTGATTTCCGCTGGGGTCATGATTTTAGGGTCCTGAGATAGAGCCCCGCTTGGGACTGCGCACTGGGTGTAGAGCCTGCTTAAGATTCTCTCTCTCTCTCTGCCCCCCACCCCCTTGTGCCCACTGTCTCTCACTCTGTCTCTCAAAAAAAAAAAGGATACTCTGCATTTAAGGTGTAAAATTGATAATCCAAAGAAACAGGTTACTTTAGGATTAATGCTGAAAGAAAATAAGATATCTTTTTTAAATTATTATTATTATGTTCTATTAATCACCATACATTACATCATTAGTTTCGGATAGAAAATCAGATATCTGATCAACATTCTGGTTTTACAAAATTGGAAGCTGGGACCCAGAAATGTTAAGCATCTTCTTCAAGTGAGAAAAGTTAATACTGTTGTCATAAAGTGTTAATAAGGTCCACAGCCTATGTGAATTTTTAAACTTTATCACATTAAACATTTTTCCTGCTCTCTACAGAATTTGGTAGAGAAACATAAATTTTCTCCATCTGATGTAAGGCACAAAGTGGATATCAATACTAGAAAATAAAGTATTTTTTAACATGTGTATATTAACTTTTGTTTCCCTTACATGATTTAGATGATTTCTGTCTTTGTTGTGCTTTGAAGCTAAGTGAAGGAATTTGTATCTGTTTTCAGATTTGGCAAATAAATTTTTAGAGAAAATACTTTCTTAGCCCTCTAATAAGTTGTCCTTTTATTGGAAAGAAATTACCGGGATCCAGTTAAGTTAAATACGAAATGATTTTGAAAAAAGCAGTGTCA